TGGATAAACAATGGAATGATGGCAGAAATAAAGATGTTCTTCAAAACCAATGAGAGCAAAGACACAGTGTATCAGAATTGCTGGGATACATTTAAAGTAGTGTCTAGAGGGAATTTATAGCAATAAGTGCCCACATGAGAAGAAAGGAAAGATCTAAAATCGACACTCTATCATCAAAATTGAAAGAGCTAGAGGAGCAAGATCAAAAACATTCAAAAGCTAGCAGAAGACAAGACATGACATAACTAAGATCAGAACAGAACTGAAGGAGATAGGGACATGAAAAACTCTTCAAAAAAAAAAAAAATCGATAAATCCAGGAGTTGATTATTTGGAAAAAATCGACAAAATAGACTAATAAGAAAGAAAAGAGAGAATCGAATAAAAGCAATAAAAATATTAAAGGGGATATCACCACTAAAGCCACAGAAATGCAAACCACCATCAGAGAATACTACAAACAACCCTATGCACATAAACCAGCAAATCAGGAAGAAATGGATAAATTCCTGGACATGTACACCCTCCCAAGACTAAACCAGGAAGAAGTTGAATCCCTGAATAGTTCAATAAAAAGGTCTGAAGTAGAAGCAGCAATTAATAGCCTACCAACCAAAAGAAGTCCAGGTTCAGATGGGTTTACAGCTGAATTATACCAGACATACAAAGAGAAGCTGGTATCATTCCTTCTGAAACTATTTCAAACAATACAAAAAGAAGGAATCCTCTCTAACTCATTTTATGAGACCAACATCATTCTGATACTAAAATCTGGCAAAGACTCAACTAAAAAAGAAAACTTTAGGCCAATACCCATGATGATCGACACAAAGATCTTCAATAAAATACTGGCAAACCGAATGCAACAGCAAATCAAAAAGTTTATCCATCATGATCAAGTAGGCTTCGTCCCAGGATGCGGGCTGATTCATCATATACAAATCTATAAATGTAATCCATCACATAAACAGAACCAAAGACAAAAAACACATGATCATCTCAATAGATGCAGAGAAGGCCTTTGACAAAATCCAACAGGCTTTTATGCTAAAAATTCTCAATAAACTAGATATTGATGAAACATATCTCAGAATAATAAAAGCTATTTATTACAAATCCACAGCCAGTATCATACTGAACGGGCAAAAACTGGAAGCATTTCCTTTGAAAACAGGGACTAGGCAAGGATACCCTTTCTCACCATTCCTATTAAACATAGCATTGGAAGTTCTATCCAGAGTAATCAAGCAAGAAAAAGAAACAAAGGTTATTCATTCATGAAAAGAAGTCAAATTGTCTCTATTTGCAGACAAAATGATTGTATATTTAGAAGACCCCATCATCTCAGCTCAAAATCTCCTTAAACTGATAAGCAACTTAGCAAAGTCTCAGGATACAAAATCAATGTGCAGAAATCACAAGCATTCCTATATGCCAATAACAGACTTAAAGAGAGCCAAATCATGAGTGAACTCAAATTCACAATTGCTACAAAGAAAATAAAATACCTAGGAATACAACTAACAAAGGGTGCAAAAACCTCTCAAGGAGAGCTACAAACCACTGAACAAGGAAATAAGAGTGGACACAAACAGATGGAAAAATATTCCATACTCATGGGTTAGGAAGAAACAACATCGTGAAAATGGCTATACTACCCAAACTAATTTATAGATTCATTTCTATTACCATTGAGCTACCATTGACCTTCTTTGCAGAACTGGGAAAAAAAAAAAACACTTTGAATTTCATATGGAACCAAAAGAGAGCCTGAATAGCCAAGACAATCCTAAGCAAAAAGAACAAAGCTGGCAGCATCATGCTACCTGACTTTAAACTATACTACAAGGGCAACTGTAATCAAAACAGCATGGTACTCTTACCAAAACAGAGACATAGACCAATGGAACAGAACAGAGGCCTCAGAAGTAATGCCACACATCTACAACTATCTGATCTTTGACAAAATGTATGAAAAGAAGCAATGGGGAAAGGATTCCCTGTTTAATAAATGGTGTTGGGAAAACTGGTTAGCCATGTGCAGAAAGCTAAACCTGGACCCCTTCCTTACATTAATATTAACTCCAGATGGACTAAAGATTTAAACATAAAACTTCGCACCATAAAAACCTTAGAAGAGAACCTAGACAAAACCATTCAGGACATAGGCATAGGCAAGGACTTCATGACTAAAACACTAAAAGCAATTGCAACAAAAGCCAAAATAGGCAAATGGGATCTAATTAAACTTAAGAGCTTCTGCACAGCAAAAGAAACAGTCATTTGAGTTAATCAATAACCAACAGAATGGGAAAAAGTGTTTGCAAGCTACCCGTATGACAAAGAGCTAATATCCAGAATCTACAAAGAACTACAGCAGATTTATAAGGAAAACAAACAAACCCATTCAAAAGTGAGCAAAAGATATGAACAGATACTTTTCAAAAGAAGACATTCATGTGGCCAAAAAACATATGAAAAAATGCTCATTGTCACTGGTCATTAGAGAAATGCAAATCAAAACCGCATTGAGATACCATCGCACGCCAGTTAGAATGGCTATCATTAAAAAGTCAGGAGAAAACATATGCTGGAGAGGATATGGAGAAATAGAAACACTTTTACACTGTTGGTGTGAGTGTACAATAGTTCAACCATTGTGTAAGACAGTGTGGCGATTCCTCAAGAATCTAGAAATGGAAATTCCATGTGACCCAACACTCTTGTTAATGGGTATATATTCAAAGGATTATAAATCATTCTATTATAAATATCCATGCACACATATGTTCATTGTGGCACTGTTTACAATAGCAAAGATCTAGAACCAATTCAAATGCCCATTAATGATAGACTGGAAAAAGAAAATATGGTACATATACACGTTGAAATACTATGCAGCCATAAAAAACAATGAGTTTGTGTCCTTTATAGGGACAAGGATAAATCTGGAAACCATCGTTCTCAGCAAATTGACACAAAAACAGAAAACCAAACACCTCATGTTCTCACACATAGGTGGGTATTGAACAATGAGAACACATGGGAGCAGAAAGGGGAGCATCACACATTGGGGTCCTTTAGGTGCATATGGGAGGGACATTGGGGGGTGGGGAGTTTGGGGCAGGATAACATGGGGTTGGGGATGTTGGGGAAGGATAACATGGACAGAAATGCCAGATGTAGGTGACGGGGGTGGGAGGTAGCAAACCACCTTGCCATGTATGTACCTATGTAATAGTCCTGCATGATCTACACATGTATCCCGTAGCCTAAAGTACAATTAAAAAATATGTATATTTTAATTGCACTTTAAGTAAAATATTATATATATATTACATAAAAATAAATATTTATATAATATATATTTACCTGCTAATCAGGATACAACAATGATATCTCCCTGATCTACAGGAACTCCTGTAAAGTACCCTGATCTGAATATTGGTCATAATTTGTGGTTATTCTTGTGGGTAACTTCAATAGCTTGAGATTAAAGGAGATAAAATATAATTAAAAAAAATAAAATCCTTGATGAAAAAGTTTTATTTGGCTCATGGTTTTACATGGCTAGAAAGGAAATAAGGGTGGTGATGGAGGTGGAGGTTGGGGGAGGTGGGGAGTGGGGAGTCACAGGATCTTTTATTTCTAACAACTCTCTTTTCTTGCCAGGGAACTAATACAGTGAGTACTTACTCACTCTCCCCCAGCGTTTGTTAATGTGTTCCTGTGCAATCCATCTCTGTAAACCAAACACTCCCAGTTAGGATTCATTTTCCAGCACCACTACAAGGGGATCAAATTTCATCATGAAGTTTAGAAGGGACAGATGTGAACTATAGCACTGGGTGAAGCTTAAAGGTTACTGAGTACTTAGCAAGTAAGAGCCTTCTTCTAGTCAAAAGATAAAGGAAAGAACTTTTCTTAAAAAATTATCCATTCATAATTTTTGATTCTAACTTTATATCACAACCTAATGTATAATGTTCACAAAGGATAGGCTAAACATACTCAAGAAGAGTTTAGGAAAATTTTCCAGGGCCATCCTCTTTTCTGTACAACTTGTTCTAGTTGATTTTAAACTATCTTAAGTGCCTGAATTTGTGCTTCTCTCCCTAGGACTTTATTTTTTTTTAAATCTTTTTCCATGTTTAACACCAAACAGTCATTATGTTTATTTCGGCTGTATATTTACGGGAATTTTTTGCTCAGAGCAACTTTTTCTAAACAACGTATTCTAGCTTTAGTCATTAGAGTCAAAAATCTTGATCCTAGTTCCTTTGGCTGCTTTGCCTAGCACATTGACTATATCTTATTAGTGTGTTGAGGGATTAAATTACAATTTTGCATAGAAGAATGTTTCTTCCTATGCTGTATATATTTTGGGTGCCCATCATTCTAGTCTTTTCACACTTCATCTTTGTTATATGTAAATTTTGAGTGCTACAAAAGAAGTAGCACTTGAATATAAATTTTATCAGCAAGGCAATTTACTTCTATAGAAGGGTGCATCTCACATTTGGGACAATGGTGAGCATACACCGTAACAGGGGAGGGGGAGGGGCTCTTATCCCTGACGCAGGTAGCCCCTACTGCTGTGTCATTCCCCTATTGGCTAGGATTGGAACACGCAGTGTAAGCTAATTCTGATTGGCTATTTTAAATTGAGCAGGAGTATGAGCAAGAGTGGAAGGTGAGTAGTTTGGTGGAAAGGACTGTTACAGAACAAATAAATAAGTGTTACTTAGGTCAGAGCAGATAACCAGGGTGATTCAGGTCAAAGCAGGTGATCAGCGTGAGTCAGGACAGAGCAGATGACCAGGGGAACAGGTGTGAACTCCTGATTAGAACTGGTGTAAATGTTTGTTTACTGAAACTATGAGATAGTTAAACTTTAAAATAGAGGGCAAAGGACTGAACATACTGACACACTGATTTTTTGAAATCAAATTTAGATTTCATTGTATCTGACAACTCCCTCCTCTTGAATTTTTTTACAGCTCTTTCTCTTCAAACTTCCTTAACATACCTTGGCTTAGTTGTTCTGCTGATTTTCTAAAAGAAGAAGCTCCTTTGAATAACATGGAGGAGAGTTAAGGTAGGTTTTAATAAGTGCTGCTTTTATGAGTCTTTGCACTAGCTGACGGATGCATGGTATGACACAACACCTGACAAGAATGAGTACACCCGCTACTCCTACGATAGAGGTAAGAATTGAGGCTATGATTTCTTTTTGTTTATGGAACCATTTTGTTGGACTCCAATTTCATCTAAATAGATGTGAGAGCTGGAAGACCCATGAGGGACTTCTCTTGCCTTACAGTGTTGTATATTTTCTTCTTCTGGTGAATGAAATGCCAGGATGAAAGGCATAGCCAACTGGACTAGAGCACAAATGCCACTCTGGTTCCTTGGCAGACTGTTCAATAAAGGTCCACCATAATACCACCATATGTCTTCTTGGGGATGAACAAAGGCTGAGTGACTGGTTAGTTCTAGAAAAGTCTTAAGCTCACTGCATCTCTTTAGGTTTCCAAGGAACACGGTTTCCTCCTCGTCATGAGAGACATGAAGTGAACTTAGTGTCGGGAGACAGAAGCTGGATGGCCCTGGGGGCTGACCCGCAGGGTGTTAAACTTCAGGATATAGCAGAGAGAGAGCTTGGCATGACTTTGTTCCCCAGGCTGTAGGATCCTGTAAAAGAGCTACTATATATCCCATGCATCCACTAGGACCATCCTAGTGGAAAGGGGATAATCTGGGCCTCTGGTCTGCCATGCACACAAGCGTAACAGTTGTTTTTGTTTAATGTATGGACAGAATATTGGATTTATTCCAACCAGGCATTTGTATCTTTATATCCTGTCTCTATTGCTAAAGTTTGTTTTAAATCATTTACTTCTACAATGTCTACATCCTGTCATTGCATATAGAATGAGTGACAGTTTGATCAGAAGAAAGTCAAAAAGGAGAATAAGAGGAAGGGAGTGAAGAGGATATTTCAAAAGACCCTATGAGGCCTGTGTTGGCCAAATTGGCTTCTGTGCCGTAGAAACGATCTAAAGTGGGGTCGGGATCAGTAGACGTAGAGGTAAGAACAGAGAGCTTTACTGGATTGCATTGGTACTGTTCACAAGTAGAGAGAATGCTTTCTTTGATGAAATGGAGGTGTGGTTTTAAAGAGGTGCAGTCCTTTGAGGAAGTCCATCCTTGTTCCTCAGTAGTCCATAGGACATCATCCCAGGAGGGACAGTACCATCCTGGAAACTTGTCCTTGTTTAGTTCCCAAAATTTGAGAAATGTCGGGGACTTGGTTTCTATGAAGCAAGGGTTGCAGAGGTTGGAAGTTACTTCAGAAGGACAGAGATATTTTTCAAAGAAGGCCTCTTGTCTTTGGTTTTGGAGATCCCCACAGGTATGGCCAGACAGGCATCAAATGTGATTGTCTGAGGAAAAGGTGACCTGGTTACATTAATAACAAGGTGGTCAGCGGTAGAACAAGGAAAGAAGAAGGAGTAATAAATAAAAGAGGGTTAAACTTTACTTAGCTTTAGTTTGGTAGAGTTTCCCCCTGGTACTATGGCCCATGACTCCAAAGGAGGTGGTGCTTTCTTGACTCCACTTTGATAGGTCCATCTTCTTTCTGCTGTCTGGGTTGCAGTTTTTGTGGTTAGGAGCTCTAGATAACATTCTTCCCAGACGGGTTAGAGCTTTTCCTGCTCTCCAGCTTTTGACAAGGATGTGGTCCCCAGGCTGATGTTGGTGTACTGGAAACTGTAGGGGTGGCACCTGTGCCAAAAGACTTTTAGTTCTGAGGCAAAAGAAAGTGGAAGATAAACCAAGTATAGAATTTCTCAGAAACTGATCTTTTGTTTCAAATGTAGGAAGATCAGTAGTAGAACGTAGATAAGACAATGCATAAGGCATCTTATAAGGGGATAGGTCTATGTCTTTTGAGGGGGCAGTTCAGATTCTCAATAGGGTGATAGACCTTTCTACTTACTCCGATGAAGATGAGTGCCAGGGAGCATAGTATTCCCATGCTATATCTAGTACCTGGACTAATTTCTTAATGACATGTGCAGTGAAATTAGTCCTATTATCTGAATCAATGTTTTTTTTCATTAATCTAAACCTGGGTATAATATTTTCAACTAATGCCTGACTACATTATTAGCAGTTGTACTTGAAAAGAGAATAGCTTCTACCTAATGAGTAAGGTGATGTACTTTTAATAGTAGATAATTTAGATGACTAATTCATGGCATTTCTGTGTAATCAATTTTGGAATGGTCTTAAGCCTGGACTCCTTCTCCCAAGAGGTATCTTTTTATAGCTTGTTTTTTAGTTTTCTTATATAGTAAGCAACTATCTGTAAATTGTGTGGCCAGGGTATAAATTCCTATACACCCATAAACTCTGAAACTGCATCACGCATAGCCTGTGTCCCCCAATGGGTCCCTTGATGCAGTTGGAACAAAATTTCCCTCATAAGAGGTTTGGATAATACTTTTTTTCTGGTCTGGCAATATCCATTTTACTTCTGAATTCTCTTTAGTACCTATTTTTATTAGTTTTTAGACCAAAGAATGCCAAACACCATTTTATATTTGACAGTGCTTTCTATATGATTTTATACTAGATAAGCTAAATTTCACCTTTATATTAGTGTGCTGTTAATGTTAAACTCAATTTTAATAAAACCGTGTAGACATATTATCCAATTTTATTGTCTGACCAGAAGGTAAGATTTTTATAGATTCTTTTTAACCCTTAATTTTTTTAAAAAAAGAACAGCTTAGTGCTTTAAGAAAAACTTTTTGTGCTTTTATTTTAATTTCCAGTTTACAGCAAAACTGGATGATACCCCTTTAACTTTGGCCATTATGTTTACACACATAATTTACTTTACAATTAACATTTCAAAACTTGCTTAAACCTTTAAAACAATGCTTTAACCTTTTATATAGGTAAAAATTTACATTCATATGCCTCTTTATAATCCTTTTAGCAAAAGTGTATTTTACTTTCCTTATACATCTTGCACACAAACTGTTTCTTCAATGAATTCCCTTTTATAACATTTTTCATGACTTTCACAGGCAATCTTTGACATGCCTTAACTCTCTGACTTGTTGTAAACATCCCTTTCTTTAAACAACCAGTTTACTTTAAGACAAGAATTTACCATATAAGATTCTTTTTACATAAATTCCACCCTCCTTTTCTACTTTTTGTCAAAGATAATAACCATTTTCTTTCCAAAGCAAACTTCCTTTATGTCTGTGGACTAGACTGCCTAAGGCCACAAGATTGAAAGTTAGGATAATATATGTTACATTGTAACTTTCAGCAAACTTTACTTTTGTTGAAAACCGTGTAAGTTTGGGATTTTAATTATGTGCTACTAGTAAACCCTAGGACCTAGGCAGGAGTACAGATAAGGTCTGGCTTATTCTAGCATGCAACTCCATGTGTCCTATGTTTTATCTAACTGTAAAGCAAGGCAGTTGTACAGCTAAGAAATGGTACCTGTTTGGCTATCTGATCAATGGTTCTAAGGTCTCGCACTAACCAGTATGAACCACCTGGCTTCTGTACAGGAAGTATTGGAGTGTTACAGGGAGACATACAGGGTTCAAGAAGCCCATCATGGAGAAGACCTTTAATTATTAATTGTAGGTTTTAAATTTACCTTGGATTTTAAAAGAATAGGGTATTGTTTTCTTGTTATTTTTAATATTTATCATTAGGCCTGGGGGAAATTATTGCTAGATTTATTATCTCTTACCTTACTTGGGGTATTTCCCATCTTGATGGTTTCAGGGTGAGGTTCAATTTTCCTTACTGGAAACTTCTTGCCTTTTGTGGTGAGGCCCAATTTTCCCTACTGGAAATTTCTCACTTCCCTTACTGCTAGAGGTTTGTGTGAGGTTCATCCCCCCCAGTGGAGATGTCTCACCTCTTTTTAACCTCCAAGCCACCCTGACCAAAGAATACTTCGCTGCTCCCCAACCTCCACAACTTTTCTTGCCTTGATATGTTCCAACAAGGAATACTTTACCACTCCCCATCACCCTGTGGCTTTTCTTATCTTGGTCCGTACCCCCAGCAAAATACTTTACTGAATCCTGCAGTGTCTTTTCCTTGGTCTGTGCACAGTGTTTCTGGTCACCGCAGTATTCGTAGGCCTTTTTCTCCCATATTGCTGAGAGTCTGGGTTTGTTTATCACACTGGATGGGTCTCAATTCCTTAACCCTGTGGCTACCACAATGAGGCAGTGGGTTACATATCCTCACAAGAAAGGACCCAAAACCATCCAGAAGAGAATGGCTTTTCCTCACATGGGCCACCAATTGTTATATGTAAATTTTTAGTGCCACAAAAGACGTAGCACTTGAATATAAACTTTCTACGCAAAGCAATTACCTCTATTGAAGGGTGTGTCTCACAGATGGAGCAATGGCAAGCATACACCAGAACAGGGGAGGGGAAGCACTTTTTATCCCTGATGCAGGTAGCTCCTACTGCTGTGTTTTTCTCCTATTGGCTAGCATTGGACTGTACAGTCTAAGCTAATTTTGTTTGGCTATTTTTAAAGGGAGCAGCAGTATGAGCCAAAGTGTTGGGGTGAGCAGTTTGGCAGGAAGGACGGTTACAGAACAGGTAACTAAAGATGACTCAGATCAGAGCAGGTAACCAGGGGTGACTCAGGTCAAGGCAGGTCATCAGGGTGAGTTGGGATGGAGCAGATGACCAGTGGAACAGATGCAAACAACTGATTAAAACTGGTGGAAAATGTTGTTTACTGAAACTATGAAGAAGTTAAACTTTAAAAGGGAGGAAAAAGAACTAAACTTACGGACATACTGATTCTTTGAAGAGAAATTTAGAACTCATTGTATCCAACAATCTTCACTTCAGGAGTATTTCTTCTAAAAGCCAACTTTAGTGGCTATGTTGACAGTAGGGCATAAGAGTCCCAGTGGAGCTCAGATTAAGACCCTGAGCCAGGAAATCAGAGCAGTGATTGCTTCTCATCTTGACACTCAATAATTTATCTTAGTGGAAGCTTTCATATGTTCCCCAGATCCACTTTCAAGGTCGTAAGAATTGTCTTCTGGTGACTTTATGCTGATCTGTCTCTCTGGGAGTGTCTCTCTGTCTGAAGGGAAATGATTTATCCAGTTTATGTTACTTCCTCCGGGGCATCCACCATCCTATGACTAGTTGATATGGGGCACAAAGACCCAGATTTCTGCTTCACTTTGAAACAATTCTAAAGGCTGTGCTAACTTCAAATCTCCTGTTAGTCTCTAATGTTACTATATTACATTTTAGCTTCTCTCCTGGACAATCCAGTTTTCTTCACACCCTCCAGGTATTGTTCCCTCTGTCAGAAAGAACTCTAATTAAATCTGCATAGTTATATCTATATTGGAGTTTGTTCCTAAGGCAAATATTATCTTTTGAATTTTAATATTACTTTGGGCTCCAAGGCCATGTTTCTGAAAACATTTCAACAGCTCATGAAATCTTAGGTAAAGTCATATGTCAGTGTCAAATAATAAATTAGATATCACCATGAACATAAACAACAGATTTTGATAAGAAACATGATTAAAAACAGCAGTATTTACATGCTTTAAATGATATTAAGAGTACAACAGAATATGGAAGTATTGTAAAGCGCCTCGCATGTTGACGTTGCTCAAGTAAATGATTGTATTATAAATTGGTATCAATAGGCAACCTCTCAAAGCCTAAAGAATCCTAAGTTTTCCACAAAAGCTTATCAAGAAGAAAATGTTTAATAGCTTTGAAGTTATGTGCAAGAAGTTAGATGTAAGTCATATCTCTTGCTACTCAGGGTAGAGAGTATTCTTTTCCATTTTACAGTTTACCACCTGCTTAGACACTGAGAAAAATTAAGTTGGGCTACAGATAAATTATTTACAACTTATTTTTAAAACTGCATACCATATTTGTAGAATATGTGTATGTATTTGGGGCAAGTGTAAATATTCAGATATACAACATTTTCAAAATATGGTTTAGTGCTCTCTGTTTTACAAATGTTAAAATAGAATATAAACATTTTATAACCCTGCCACACACAAAAAGTGAAGGCCCACTTCTAATTATGCCTATGAATGACTTCTCTCTTTCTAGTTTCTCTATCTGTAAAATAAAGATAACAATATTTATTTTCCTCAGAAGGGTGTTGAAATAATGGATTTCCTAATGTATATAATATACTTTGAAGATGAAATCCTTCATATAAATGCTAAGTATTTTTATTGTGCATAAGTTTTTGAGGTATTATGGGTGCACAATTTCAAAGAATACATTAAAATGAAAATTTATTATGAATAATCCTTTGAAGTTGTAAAACCAATTAAAAATAAAGGTGAAAGACAATCTTCTCAACATTGAGCACAGATGGTACTGATTTTGTTCAGCTATTTCTTGTACATGGTAGGGTATATTTTAGAATTAGACAATGAACTAAGTAGGCATAAGTTAACTTTAGAAAACTTGATATTTGTCTTTCAAAGTTTGTTCATTCCTGTTATAATTCTCAATTATTAAAGATTAATAAAAGTGACTCTTCAATTATTCTGTGACTTTGGGAATTAACTGTAGAGCATTAGCATTTACCTGCAATTGTCAATAGTAAAATTTTGGTCTAAAGGCAAATGGCAATATTCTTAATCTTTAAATATTTTCCTCATTGCCAGAAAACACATTTTTTTTCAATATACTCCTTTTGCCTCAGGAAAAAACAAATTCTATTACTATGGTGAAGGTCTTGTTAAAATTCTCTTGGGGCCATAATCCAAGTGAGTTTGCTATGTTTTCTATCTTTGTGTTATACTAATGTATTTCAAGGACAAATGAGACCTGCATTTTTGCCTAACTTGTGGCATGTGGCATTTTATTCCATGGCAGCTGTCTGTTTGGAATATTCTCTATTTCTTATTGGCCGTGTCCATAAATCTAGAAACCTGGGGTCCAAACCAAACGATGAGCCCAACATGAATGTCAATGGCAAGAACTTTACTGGCTTATTCCACCGTTACAGTTCTGAGGCCTGGGACGTGGCACTTATCCACCCTTGGAGATTTAAGTGGTTTCAAGAAAAGAGGATTTATCAATTTGTTTACTATTATTTTTAGCTGTTTTAAATACAATTATTTGATAACTGGGGTAGTCTACTAAGAGTAGGGTAAAGAAATGTACCGCAAAGATTGCTGCAAAAGCAATACCCTCGCCGCTTACTGCTTGCTTCATTTTACCTTTGCGAGGAATTGTCATTACTTATAACCATTCTCTACTCAAGATGTTCAGACAAGTGATTCATGTGTCTGAATAACAGTGAAAAATATTTCTCTTCCTCTGAAAAGTATCATTAATTTGTTTTAAGTGTGAGAGCTGCCAGCTAGCACAATAGACAGAGCCATTTACTGAAATAGGGCTTCATTGTCACAAAAGCTAATGCACATCTAGAGAGGATAGAGTTAACTCCATGTTCACTGGAAATATCAAGTTTATATTACAAAGTAATTTTAAAAATTTCTAATGAAGGTAATATAAAAGTTAAATACATTTTTAGATAAGCAAAACATTGATTTGACTATAGAAGAGTGCAATTATTTTTTGTGAAGGCTGCTTTTGGAGCATGGTCAGAGGTGAGCATTTATTCTCTTATTTATTTAACTTATTTTTATATTGAGTAGGTTCTATAGGTCAGGAATATGTTCAATGAAGGATACCAAAAAGAATAAAATGATATCACTGCTCTCACAAAGATTACATCTAGTAGAGGAACTCCCAAACAGCTGAAGTGAGTAAAGAAACCTATCTATAGTGCTGGGGGTCTCATGTCTGACCAACAATGTATTATCTGAAAGTGAGTGGAGAAAACGGAGATGAA